AGGGTTTGCATATCAACTGGGCGACAACCCTGCAAGGTCAAACGTGTCAACAGTGTGAGGAATTTGGATACAAGTCAATAGCAGGTTTCTGTCAGGGCTGCATGTGGCCTTTAGGGGATACAGAGATGTCCCATAACACAGAGGTCCCCAATCCCAATCCCTGCAGTTTTGTATGTCCTCAAGCTCAAACTCTAAGACATATACAATAAATTTAACTACATTATCAAACGTGACCCTCATAAAAGACCACAGCGTCGCCTAAATTGATTCTCTCTCTTGCTTCTCTCTCTTGCCCTAATTGAGGACAAAAAGAAGCGAATGAATGTGCACCACAGGAGTGACACAAACCTGAAGGCGAAATACTGCCTTCACAACAGCGAGCAGTTTGTACTCTGTGCAGAATGAGTGGATCTGCGATTCACAAACCGAATTATGAGTCAGCAACATGGTTTATTTAGATTAGACCCTTCAGAAAAAAAAATCTGCGGGCTAAATCCTTGTGTATGCGATTAAACATCGCAGGGTTTTTATGTGATTTTATGCGGTGAATTGCGGGAACTTGCGGAATTATGCGGAAGAGTGCAAAAATAATTATGATTTTTTTAAATATTGGCTTATTTATTCTCTCTCACACACAACCTGCCACTAACGTTAAAACCCCTTTCATGTTAACATCGACTGACACTTATTTGTATTATTTCTATACATTTACCTGTCATCTTACTTTGTCAGTTTTTCGGTCAAATAAAAGTGTTTACGTCCACTCAATCACACAGACAAATGTGTTTTGGTGGCACAGTTGCCCTTGCCACATTATTTCTGACCCTGATTCTGGGTTTATATGTTTCTTTTGAGCATATGAGCAAGTATTCCCAAATATTTAATCTTCTTTTAAAATCTTCTCGGATGGGTCCTATAACAATGCCCTGTAACGGCTATTTGCCACACACAAAAAACCTCGGTCCTCCACTTACATAAGCGCAACTAATAGTCTGATTTGGAAAGTCGTGGGTTGACAGAGGCTGGTGATAACTACCCTTGTAAAAAACGTCAGATTGCCATTGTTTGTTTTGTGAACAGCGAATGCATAGATGTCCAATTATGCAGAACCTGCGTTATAAGACACACTTCAGACATACATATTACCGTTCATCCTTTTGTATTCCTTGAATGACAGCCATTATCATCAGACCAGATGGTTTAAATGATCATGTGTTTGTTTTGCTGATTACAAGCTGTGCATGATATCAGTTGCTGAAGCGTTGAAATCTCTAAAATCCACTAATGGTATTATTTCGATTACTAAAAAACACCCAGGATTATGTCTTCCTTACCCACTTCATGGAACACTCCGATGTCTATCGCAACACATGGCACCAGTATGTGCCTTGTAATGGATCAAGCCGCTCCATAGGAATGTTG